TGCTACATTTCAAGTGCTCAATACCCACAAACATGTGGCTAGTGGCCAGCGTGTTGGATTGTGTGGATGTTATAGCCTGTTTCGTTGCAGAAAGTTCTATTGAGCAGTACTGGAGAGACACTGGGCCTTTACTATTTGCTGGGCCCTGGGCTAAGTGCTTTACACACATTATCTCATTTAATATTTAAAACAATTCTAAGAGTCAGGTAATGTAGTATCTTTTTACAAAGAAGGTAACTAGGGATCAGAAGTCAAGTAACTTGCCCTGAGTTACAGAGTTCTTAAAGGGTAGAGAGCCAGAACTGGATTACAGGACTGTCTGCTTCCAAAGCCCAAACACTTACAACAGCACATCATCTTTTAGGAAGATGTAACTAGTTTGAAATTAAACATGGCATCCATAGGGAAATGTCCAGTGGGGTACTGGCAACAAATTGTTGACGCAGAGAAAAGAAAACAGGAGAGCTGATAGATCTGGGGTAAAAGCAAATCTCCCAAGAGATCCTGTGTGTTGTAGAACTAAACAGGATACATTCCAGCATACCACCAGTTAAGAGAAAACAAAAATATTCAGTGAAGGCACTACTTTATGTCTTTTGCTAAGAGGTCAATTGACATTATATGATTGCTTAGCAGAAAGAAGAGCTTAACTGACACCAGGTAACAGAGCTGAGATACATTTGCTCTACCCAGGGTTCTCAAATGGGTAGGATGCCATACCGTTATAGGACATATGGAAATGTAGGGGGTGTTTAGCGTAGACTGATGGGAACCATGAGCATTCTGTGGTCATGATCTTAGGATGCAGAAAGTCTTATGATGCTTGCCATACTCCAGCACAGTGAAAAATTCTCTCACCCAAAATGTCAACAGTCCCCATGTAAGAAATGTGAGCCTACTGTTCCTCAAGCAACACTCCACCATCCATGAACTGAGGCAGTATAGGTATTAGAACAGGGTGGCAGAATTCCTGAATAATAGTCATCAGTAGAACAGGCTTGACCGTCAGACGAACTTGTGCTCCAATCTGTTCTCCGCCTCGTACTCACTGTATGGGTTGCAACCCCATTACCTAGACTCTGAGCCTTAGTTTCCTCATCTAAACAAGGCATAAAACAAGAGTTAATGCACATAATCTAGGGTGGTTATGAGAATTACAAATCTCTTCAAATACTTGGCCCAGTGTTTGGTTCAGGGAAAGTTGTATTCAGTGTACACTATTGTTAGAAGTGAAAAAAGGATGTAAAAGGAACTCTGGCTTAAAGACTAAAATAAGATGGAAATTCAAATAGAAAAGGAAGTTTAGAGCAGCACCGTCCAATAAAAAGACATGGACACAAAAATGCTAGCAGATGTAATTTTAAAATTTTCCCTAGCCACATTAAAAAATCTAAGAAACAGGTAAAATTATTTTTAATATATATTTAGGTAACCAACTATATCCAGAAATGTTATTTCAACATGTAATCAGTATTTTTAAAGGGAGGCATTTCACCCTTTTTTTGTATCAAGTTTTTGAAATCCCATGTGTATCTTACTTTCAACACATCTCAGTTGAGATGAGCCACATTTCAAGTGCTCAATAGCCACCTGCAGCTCATGGCTACATATTGGACAGCATAGGCCTAGAGTGTCAGTGAGCTGAGCTCTTTCCCTGACTGCTAGCTTTCAGTAATTCTTAAGATTCTTACCAGCTAACATTTCAGAGTAGTTTTGCAAAAGCCTCAATTATTATGTTGAGGGACATTATAGACTCAGGATCTTAATACAAGCTGATGAGAAGTGGTGTCATAGAATGACTGAAGAGACATTGAGTGGACTCCATGAGATGTACATTCCCAATCCAGCTCTACTAATTCCTATGTCCTTGAACAGCTAAGTTAGTCAAAACCTGTTTTCTTATTTGCTGAATAGAGATAATGGTACTAGTTCCCCTAAGTATTGCTCTGCTGATAATGCACATAAGGCTTTAGCCCAATGTCTACAAGCTATTTCTCCAAAGGTGAACTGCAGATGTTTGTATTTGACTTTGAGAAGCAGAACAGGTGTTCACTAGAATTGTTATTCTTTATATATGCACACAGGAAGTATTTTAGAGCTGTATTACTTCTACAGCTTTTGTTAAGGAACCCACTGAGTCCTTCCAAAGCTGTGAGGGCAATGATTTGACCTTGTGTCCAGATATGCTTCAACCTCTACCACACTGCCTGGCACATGGTAGGCCCTCATAAAGTTAATTAAAGGAATTTGGGGTTGCAGAATTCCTGAATAATAGTTACAAGTACACTATTAAAAGTATGATCACTGGTCAATGATAGTAATCTAACTTTTATTCTAATATTTAAATTATAAAGTTTATGTAGCTCTTTTTTTAATGAGAATAGTCTTTTGCCAGAAATTTAAGATTCTTGAGTTGATATAGAGTTCAAATAGTGTAGGGCAAGCTTAAATGATTGGTAGTGTATTTGCCATAGAAGTAGCTCTACATATAAATTACTAAATATGATCTCAGTATAGTACCCGCAAGACTACCCCAGATTTTATTCAATTCATACTTACTAAAATTTACGACTAATTTCCTATGAAGTTAAAAAAAAGCATACAACACTGGCATAGCACAAATTTATTTACTAACCAAAGGGATAATCCTAATTAAATCAACACTTTGAAATAGATGCATGTAAAATGTTTGTGATAAAGATAATTGAACACAGTAATGAAAAAAAAAAGCAGTATGGAGATTTGCTCATTGAACTGAGCTTGTTCATCCTCACAGCTAATTCCTGTCCACAATGATGATGGAATTTTTACTCTACTTTTTCATAGACCCGAGTACAGGTGACATTATTCATGATGCATTCCTAGAAGAAAGAACGATATTAAAGAATTAGGTTAATCTTGCATCGTAGAGCAATGGTAGTAGTTAAATACTAGGATCAGCATCCTACAAAACTTTGTAATCTACTTCATAGATGGAGAAAATGAATTTTAGAATTCCTGGGTTTGAAAAGCTAGAACCTGTTATTTTGCTTATGACATGTGTATGCTTTACTGCAAACTAAAGTATTGATTTGCAAAATCTAAGTATTCATTTGATCACTGCAAATGTTGTTCCTTATTTTAAAGAAATGGAAAGATGTATGTCCAAGAAGGGAGTTCAGTGGCTTGCCCATGATTTTACTGTAATGCAGTAGTGAGCATAAACTAAAACCAGCTCCAGGTACATACTGTGCTACATGTTTACCTTGCTATTTTACAATTTTTTTCTACCCAAACCTAGTTCTCATGTTCATGATCAGTGATATTGAGCAGTTACGTGAACTCTGAATGCAAACAAAAGCCTAATAAGACATAAGTTTGGCACTTACCACCACTAATTTCCCATTTTCCAATTTTCTTGTGATTGTGCTTTCCTTCCCATCCCATTCCTGATGTTGAACCAACGCGCCGTCTGTGAAGTTGCAGACAGTCTGCAAAAATACACTTTTTAATCTTCCAAAGTATGTTACCAGAGAGATGCCATGGCTCATAACTTCCTTAATCAACATTTTTTTCATCTTTTCCTTTCTGGGTCCACTTCATTAACCCATACCAATTTTAATAATATAGTTTATGCTTTTCAATCTAGACCCTCATATAAGAGACACTTATTCTCTCTCATGCTCCTTAAACTATTTTTCCCCAAATAGTGACTGAGTTATGAAGTTGGTACTTTCACTAATTGGTCAAATTCAATTCATCAGATAATTTTACTTTTTCATTAAGTTTTGCCTATAAACAGTAAGAATATTATTAATACAATCTATTGTCTTTCATTCTACAAGCTTCCGTGATTTTGTTAAATTATGACTGACCTCAGTTTTTCTGCCATCAGCTGTAGTTTCTTCAAACTTCTCTCCCAGGTTACATGAAAACTGTGTTGTTTTCAAAGTGCTCTCAGTTTTTATGGTGAGGTTTTTGCCGTCAGAAGAGATGACACAATCTGGTTTGGCCATTGCACCCACTTTTCGCAGAGCCATTCCCACTCCTGTAGAATGGTTTATCATGTTAACTAACAGGAAAACCAAAGCTATAGTTTACATAATAAATGCAGTAATTCGATTGCAGTTACTGTGTGGTACATATTTCACTTATTCGCTTCTCAATAACAAGGGTAGACACATACGCAGCGCTTACCATGTGCCAGCACTTAAATATATGAATTAATGGAAGCCTTGCAACAACTGTGTGAGAGGTAGATAGCATCCATTTTACAAGATCAGAAAATGAGGCACTGCAGTAACTTACCCAAGCTCATTCAGCTAGGAAGTGATGGAGCTGCAACCAACAGAGCGGGCAGTCTGGCTCCAAACCTTAAGCTCTTGGCCTCCATGCTATGCTGGCCCTCAGAAAGTTAGGGAAGAAATCTGGACTTCTAAAATGGATGTACTCAATTCTGCCAAACATTGTATTATAGGACTCCAGCACACAGTCTGACACATACAAAGCTCTTGATAAATATCTAATAACTACACAAAATCCAAATCAATTCAGTTCAAAGAGCATGGTGTTTTAAGAGTTAACTGCACAATCGTGATGCTAATAAATTGGGAAAATTTTATCCTCAAAAACAGTAAGCATTTCCGAGCTGTGGAACTCAATTACTATATTGATATCATATTTAATTTATGATCTATATATTTCTCCCTAATGGTAACATTTACAAGGAAACTTAGATCTAGGCCAAATCCTGGTTTCACAGACGAGACTACAACCTAAGCAGAATAACTGGGTTGATGATAGAAACTCAGCTAGGCTTGCAGTGTCCTCTTGGTGCCTTCTCTTTTGCCAGTGTGGGGGCTGGTGCCTCGTGTTGTTAGATGAGTCATTATTAATTCTCACTTTGGACAAATACAGGGCTCTGCTCTTCCCACACCTCGACTGCTCTCTAATGAATTGAGCCTTGACAACTTTCGTGATTCTAGAACCCTGGAAACAAACCACCCAATGAACACATTCACTTTCAAAGGGCAGAGAACAGCATTCTTTATTTGGTCTTCACACAAGTGAACACACACAGACATTTCTTGGCTATGAGTGCAGTAATTGGCTTTTTCCAGAGTTATCTTGATCTAGATTTATAGTGCAAAAAAAAAAGAAAAAGACTGCATTCTACTTTGACTCACAGTATCATAAATACACTCAAAATTCACCACAGAACCAGCCTTCACCTGTCATTGTCTTGGATAAAGGCTAACGAAGGAGGGCTTCTGAAGTGCCACAGGGACTAGGTTTCAGTAGAGGGTCTTTGCAGTAACTTCTGCACCAGAAAGCTGTCATGTTAACATTTGTGGGATCGGCAGCTTCTAAAGCAGCCTCACGGTCCCGGAAGTTGTCTTAGGGCTGGAAGCCCCTTTTCAGAGAAGATCCATGCTATAGTACTCCATCCCACTTCCTAGTGGCCTGTGACAAAGGTCCACTTTTGTTTGCTAATCTACCCAATGTGTCAAGCAGAATACAATCGTTGTCATTGGCTTAGAAAAGGACAATAACAGAGAATCAAGTACTATTTTGAGAGAAGAGAACTGGAATCTTCCTACAGAGACTCCTATTGCTTTGAAAGGCTTTAAGCAGTGGGGGGCCTTCTGCAGGGCCCCCTCCCCCATCTTGGGTGCAGTTGGAAAGCAGCAGCCATAGGAGGGCTCGGCGGTTTTCCAAGAAAACCCCACTCCCTGCCTCTAGGCCCCTCACCCTCGAGACGCAGAGGGCAGGGCAGCAGCACGTGGCCATCCGTGGGCACAGCAGGCCCCGCCGTTGCCCTCGGAGAGGTCACCTGCCCACCGCGGCGCTCAGGCGAGAAGGTCGGCGTCGCCAGCGCCACGCCTCTAAGCGCCGCTCTGTGGCCGGGAGGCGAGGATAACCCGACGCTCCACCGGGAGCTGCTCCAAACCCAAGGGCCCGGCTCACCCGGGGAGGGTGGGCAGAGGGCCTGCGGGTCGGGGGGAGAGGCGGCCCGAGGGCAGAAGAAAAGCCGAAGCTGTCGCCCCATTCAGACCTTCTAAAGGGTTTCTGCTGGAAACTGCGCCCTGTGGAGAAGAGGGGACCCGCACGCCATCTAGGAACAAAAGATGAGGCAATGCGGGAGCAAGGTGGGAAAGAAGGAGTGGGTGCGGCCACGATGGGGCGAGTGGGAGAGGCAGGATGGCGGCCGGAGGAGGGAAGATGAACGGTGGGAAAAGAAAAATCGGGGAAGTTACGGGGGCTGTCTGAATGGGGTTGAAAGAAGTGAAGCCTAGGGTGGGAGGAAGAGGAGTGCGCTAAAGCACAGGAAGCGGTGCGGGTGGCTGCGCGTGGGCTAGGGGAAAGTTGAAGAGAGCTGGGTGGCCCATGAGACGGAACATCTCAGAATCCGCAGGCGGGCGGCAAGCGCAAGCTGCTCTCCCGGCTGCTTGCCCACGTGCTGGTGGGGGGTGGAGGGAGGGAGATGGATGGGGGTACAGGGGCTTGGGGTAGACAGCCGGGCATGCCCCGCCGCTGAGCTCAGCACGCTGAAGGGGACCTAGGAACAC